TAATACCTGAGGTGCATACAACATTTTTCGTACTTCCGAGACTAAAGGGACAACTTCACTCCATTATGACAAGTACTGAAGTGTCACTTTTTGTCCCGCCGGGATTAAATTTGGACGAAAATCCCGGAAGGATGAAATTATTAACAAGGCAATTTCAGTAGGTTGTTCCACATTTTGTATGCGGTACTACTTCTTAAACGCATCGTACTGCTGCTCATATAGTTTTTTGGATTTCGGTGGTATCAATTCTTTACCTACTTTGGCTGCTTTTTATCAATATCAAATACACCTTTTGTCACCCACCACCAAAATTATGACACTAGCAATGACAGTTTCCAAATTATTTTTGTTACCATAGCATAGGGATTGTCGTACCAACGCAACGTTCCTATGGTAACTTGTTAAGAAGCGATTTTTTTAAAGAACGCGTTCTCTAACTCCATACATATTAAGTGTTTCAGTTTCGGAAGTACGAAAAATATCGTATATACCTTGCCACTGAATAATGAATTTCCAATATACAAATGTAATGATTATTGTTTGGCCAACATTAAACTGCTTCATACAAATCAAGTAGCATCTTTTTTTATTACACAATATAACTCCATCAATATATTTGGCAGGCCGTTTGAGGGCATAATGAGATGGCAATCCATTATTTACATTATTTATTATTTACATGGAAAAGGTTAATTTGTTATATAAAGAAAAAACAGATTAGGGACTACGTCCAAGTGGAACTTGCCGCCCCATCGATTATATCTATTTGCTATAAAATTTTAAACTTGCGATATGAAAAGCTCCTAAATAGCTCATTAATTGGATACCATTCTTAAATTGATTCACAATGGGGCAGATTGGGGGGGGGGGCGGGGCTAGGTCCAGCGAGGTCTATTTTTGTCTTTCAGTTTCTTGAAAATCAGTATGTCGAAACTACATTCAAAAACACGACAGCAATGTAAATAAGCAGAATGTGTGTCCTAATCCTAATAAAATTATTTCTTTGATTGACAAAGGAATCACTCATAATCTATATATAGGTAAAAGAGCATTTATGATTATCGTAGTATCAGTAATAACAAAGTACTCTGCTTATCTTTAGTATTAGGTATATAGTTTAATTTGGATTCTTTACGTTAGTGTGTTTACATTTAAACGTTGGTCTAGACAGTCAAAAAATCATCACTTCTCAATATATATATCTAGGTAAGTGTATTCTTTTTAAACCGGGTATATACAATACACATGAAACATCAGGGCGCAATAAGGAAACGCTGACAATTTGGACATAACAGAAACTTGAAAATTTATTGTGGTCGCTACTTTTCAACGATGTCCAAGAATAACCATGCAATAGTTCTAACAGAAAACCAGCAAATTGCATTTAACGGATTTTTGAAGCGAGCCGGCGTTGGCAACTTTTCTATATCATTATCATCGGGAGTAGAAGCCGGTGAAAATTTATGTGGAGTTATAATAAAAGCCGATGTAGTGTGGACCAGTGAAAATGAAAAATCCACTTCCCATTACATTTTAAAGTGTGTTCCGTCAAGTGAAATTCTTCAAAACCTGCTCCCAGTGCAACCTTCCTTTCTAATTGAGATATATGTGTACTCGAAAATATTTCAAGAGTTCAATATAATTCAACGGGAGTATAACATTAAAGCACCTTTCGATTGCTTCCCAGTTTACTATGCATCTTTGTCAACAACACACGACAAAATGATAGTACTACAAAACGTAAAGGCGCTAAGCTATAGGCATTACGATCGATCTCAACCTATGGATTACCCGCATTTATTACTCGTAGTTAAGGAATACGCACGGTTGCATGCCCTCTCCTACGTGATAAGGCACTACAAGCCAGTCCTCTTCGAAGAATTTGAACGAAATACTGTACACCACTTTCTTCAGGACTGGAGCTATGAAGGCATTATGATTGTTGTTCAACACCGAATGGACCACGCTTTAAAGGCATTGGAGTCGATAATTGATACTGCTCTGTATGAAAAATTCTTGCATTTTACCCAAAACGTACGTTCTGTTTGTACAAAGCTGCTCAACTCCAAAACAAAGCACCGAGTGGTTAGTCACATCGACTGTGGTATTTCAAATTTCTTGTTTAAGTATGATGTGAGTAAGTACTAGCATCGTATACTTAAAACTGATTGAGACGATTTAGCCTACATCTGGTGATCTTTTGAGTACCTGCATACTCGATTGGCAACACTCTCGTTTGGAATCTCCAGCAGTAGATTTGGTTACGTTCATATTTTCTGCCGCTGACAAAGCTACTCGAGAACGCTACGATGAGTTAATAATGGAGTACCACAAGACATTCTGTTCATTTATGCGGGAATTCGGTTGCGACGGAGAAAAACTGCTTCCGTTTGATGATTTACAAAGCGAATTAAAGACTTACGGCATATTGGGATTTCCAATGGCAATCATGCTAATTTACCTTTATTCAACGATTGACCAAAAGGTTCCCGATGTACGCGAAGTCGAGTCCTCTAAGGAAGAATTTGGATTCTTATACGATTTACAAAATCGGGAAAAATTTGATACGCGGGTTAGGGAAGCAATTTGTGACTTTAATCGTTTCGGATACAATTTTGAGTGAAATGTTTTCTAATTTTGCATTTTGTCAGTGTATGAAGTGCCATCATGTGTGAACCGATGTAGATCATTAAAGTGCGATGCTAGCTTACAAATGGCGTTGCTTCTTTTCCAACATTGCTATCGTCATAAGATGCTAGCTCTCTAATATTATTAATCCATACCGAGCGTAGGTAAGATCACCGGCTATGCGAAATTTCAAACCCACTATTCTAAAAAAACAATGCCGAAAATGTTACTTGATACACTGTGTTCAAGATAAGGATGTCTATAATCAATGCGAATTTTCAAAACCGTACAAGAAACGACGATGGTCAAATTAGGAACAAAGTTGCGCCATTAAACAGCTATTATCATGCTCTAAAGAAAACCAAAAAGTTCTGATTACTTCCGAAGATATGCCAATATGCCGATTTCGTTTTTATTTTTTTCTTGTTGTTACTTTTTGGGAGCTTTATAAGACACCGTTAACAGATTTTCAATACAACGTTTCCTTTCAGAGAAATCAACAGCAACCTTATTTTTTTATATGAATCGTAAAAAAGTATACATTGTATTGAATAGCATTTTTATTACGAATACGACGATATACGGCACACAAAAATAAGAGTTCGAAACTGTTTGTTTCAACAGGATGGTGTACTTGCGCACACGCACAACGCCCTAATCGTGCAAGAATACCTATCCGACAAGTTTTCTGGAAAATAGTAAAATTTGCCCGATAAGTATTCTCGTTCGGTTAGGACGTTGTGTGCGGTTGCACCATCCTGTTGAAACCAACAGTTTCCAACTTTGTTTTTTATTGTGTACCGTACATTGCTGTTTTCGTAATAAAAAATGCTACTTAATAAAGAATGTACTTTTTTTAGGGGAATAAATTTGATAGTAAACAGAAAAACAAATATCTTGGTTTTCCTAGTTTTGTTTGAGTTTGTTGTAATTGTATCATGTTGAAATTTTCATAGTTTCTTATTTTTAAATAAATACAACTGCCCTGAAAATTTCATCAAAATTGCTCAAAGTAGGTAGACTTGGTGTTCAGATACTCATGGCGGGCAGTATATAAAACAATGACTTAACGTTTAAAAAACGATTTTAAAGTGGTTTGATAGGATAAATTCGGTATTGGTCGTATGGTATACGTTATTGTGTAACGAATGTTATACCTACGTTTAAAATACGTTTTATTCGTATATGTAAACCATTCTACGTTTATAATACGTATATAAATAACCGTTTTTTAGCATTCGTTGGATAAACCTATATAACACTACTTTAATATACGCATATAAATCGTATATCAATGAGAAATAATAAACGCATAATATTCCTACAAGACTATAGCAATATTCGCCGGACATTTATGCGTATTATTTACGTAGGGTTTTAGTCTACAAAAGACGCATTTTTATACGGAACTGGGATGCTAGGAGAAGTCATTTTTTGATTAATGGATTTCAATTGATCTTTTTGAGAATTATATATTTATTGGTTGATAAATTCATCAATTCATCTTATGCTGTGGTTAAATTCCTATTACTTGTATTTAGTTATTTACATATCACATTAAAAGTATCTGAACAGCCTTCTGTATTACACAATGATTACAGTTTTTTGAACTGCGATTTTACCGATCACGAAAGCGGCGAATAAAATGTTTCCTCGTCGGAAATTACAAGAAAGCAAAAAGTTTCCAAAAAAATCAGAAAATTAAGTAATTCTTATTTTACAATCTACCATAGTGGCGCACCGAAAAAAGTTCAGGGGTAGAAAATGGAACATGACCCATGACAAAACCACACCTTAGATTCTCACTACCATTGACGTCACTAATGTTGTAAACCCTTCAGCGTCACTTATATTTCAAAATGAGCAAAATAACTCAAAACCTGCAGGAGATAATGTAGATAGATCAATAATATTGCTTTGCGAGCCTATGTTTACATGAACTTTAGTCATAAAATAACCCAAAGAATTTCAATTGTTCTTATAAGTCTTAATGTACAACTGAAATCCCCCTTAATCATTGCCGATACCGCTCTTATTAAACATGATGCTGAACCAATACTAAACATAACCTCTAAATCTAATCCTGAAATCACCTCCCGTTTAATCCATTTATTTCCACAACCATTTGTCTGTATTATTTTTCGTTTTACAAAACAGTCTTTGTCAAGGTTACCAATTTGCAACGAATAATTACAGGATGGGTAAATTAGATTTTAAATCAGAAATTCATTTTTTATCGTTTTAAATTGCAATATTCTGCAACTGCGACATGCCTTTTACTTTGTTTTGATGTATTCGACTCGCCTGTGTAGTGTGTATTGAGGAATTTCGACAGGCATATCCAGAACATGTTGTTGATTACGAAAACTTACGCAGTCACATTCTTCGTGTAGTTAAGCGATTTGACGATACAGGAAGTGTTGTTTGTGGAAAATGCGCTGGTCGCCCCACAACGAGGCGGTAGTAGATGTGCGTGTTCGCGTTGAACAAAGCCCGCAAACGCCAGTGTGACAGCTATTCCAACAAACTTGTTTGTCATACGGAACCTGTAAGAAAATAACGAGGAAAAAGTTACATATCTACCCGTAGAAAGTAACTGTGCTTCACGTGTAAATTATTGTAATTGCAATGATACTCTAAGAGACGACAACTTACTAGACAAACGTTATTTCTCGGATGAGGCTTGGTTTCACCTTAATGGATACGTTAATTCCCAAAACTACCGAACTTTGAATCCTGAAAACCCGCATATTTATAAACAAGCTTCGCTTCATCCTCTGAAGGTCTGTGAGTAGTGGCGGTGTCGAGAAGTCGAATTGTGAACTGTTAATCCCGAACGTTACCGGGAAATGTTACAAGTGTTTATTGATCAACTTCACAACAACGAATTGCAAGGTTTCTTTCAACGGCACATTCAGCTGATAAAACAATAACATTTTTACAATCCCACATCACAAAATTGTGCAACATTAGGCGTTTAATAAACGTTTAATGGTGACTTGCAACGTTAGTGTATAATTACTATTAACTTATTATTAACGTCACCGTGACCGCTAAAGTCCGCCATCAGAAACGTTTCCTTTGTAACTTCTAAACACCTACGTTTAACGAACGTTATATCGTATAACACTTTATAACATCAGCATTTGTAAGACACCAGTCTATATTTTCGCAGGCAGAGATGATGCTTACAGAAAGGTGACATCTTTTTATATGCATCGATGTCATAATTTACTTAACGTCAATCAATTCTTTCATATGTGAGGGGCATGACGATATAATCAATAAATCAGTCAATCGTGACCATTGATATCACTCACCCCAAATTGTCAGGATCGTCTGGGTCTCTAACGGTACCTGGCCTCCATGGCTGCTCTCGGCCTGGACCACTGTAATTATAAGAAACACAAGGAGCACCTCTGTCTTGCATTCAGCCTAACTACTCTAATCATATTACTCAACAACTCTCAACAAGCTACCTTAGTAGCGGGGTTACAAGAACAGAGGGTCTTCTTACGTCCAGGACCCCATATGCCACCCGGCTACGTATCCCCCTGTGCAATCCCTACCCTCCTGCGTGGAAATAACGAGGGTATAAAAGAGTCTTTCACACGTCAGCTGGCTACAGCCGGGCCCACATGTCCCGGTAGCCCTTACGCTGTCCGTAACTCACATAAAGGGGGCCTTGTGACGCCCGGGCCCGCCGAGGCCTGGAATACGTAACCCTCATGCGCAATGAATTGCCATGGCTCTCCTCCTCACATTACATGTATCTAGGTGCGGACACGTAGCCTGCCCCTGGAACGCCCCGCCCTCACAATGAACGAGGGTAACAGGAGTCTTTCAACGCGGTGGGCTCAGAAAACCCAGACGCGGGGTCCTTACACTGATCGGCCGGCCCGCACGATGAATCCTGGTGGACGGTGCATCCAGCGTGGTGGGCAGGACGGATCCAGATGCTGAGCGTTTCCCCCGACGTGCTGGGCCAACCATTCCTGAGGTGCCGGGCACAGCCACCGACCAGACGGCCCTACGCGCCCTTAAATTGGCCCAGAGCTCTTACGACTGTAACGTAACTCCAAGTGAGATAAATATGGCTGGCCTTTTACACGTGTCCAGACGCCATCTCCGGCACAACAAAGACTAGCAACCTGCCACGTATCCTCCATGCGCTAAGGAGCCCTTCCAACGCCGGCCCAATCGGACGTAGCTCCCGATTAGTGAAGGAAGACTACTCAACGCCGGGCCAAATTGATACAGGTATATGGATCTGGGCCCATGCCCGACGTACCCCCAATGAGACCATCAGAGGCCTTCCAACGTGGTCAGGCAAACTAGTCTATTCCAATTAGGGACAAGCAGTAATTAACTGCGCGCACAAATGCACATTCTGCGGGCATTGCATTCGACAAGATAAGTCTAATTTACTAATTATCAACATACTCTAACTCCTAATCAAGAAGGTACCTTCGGTAATTAATTATCTACTAATAACTCGCATCTCATACGTAATTCATACGCTCAACGTTTCTGAGGAAAGGATACACCTTTACCCTTTTATGAACAAAAGCCGAATTACATTCATACAATAATTATACAAGCAGATGTACTCACTCACTGGGGTAATTCGAGTTACTCCAATTTAACAAGTGCACGTCACAACACTTAGAAAGCACGAAACAATACTGACCAAATCTCTCCCTTGGAATTCGTACTTGAAATATTAATTAGTATCGTAGTACGTAAAACGTATAGTGCAAAAATGTTTGTTAAACAATACTAAATAACTATTATGTTGTCCATATCGACCGGTATTAGTATTTTGATGACCGAATTGTTGGAAGAAACCGTTGGCCGCCAAAATCACCTGATCTAACACCCTGGGATTACTTTTTATTTGGTTATCTAAAAAACGTTATTTATAGAAATTACATAGAAATTACACACCATTGATGAATTACGTGCAGCTATAGATGCGACTGTTTATAACATAACATAACAGCAACATCATACAGTTTTCGAAAACATGAAGAACTTTGAACAGGTCATTAGCAATCGCATAGTGTTGAACAAAACATTTTGAACTTGCTTATTTTTATCTTTCAATCGTTCAATTCGTATTAAAATATGAGTACCTAATTTAATAAATCTCGCACAACTAAACTCACTCACGGCGAGAGAATCGTGTACGAAATTGGCAGGGGGGGGGGCAGGGGAAATTAAATTTCGGCGCTGATAATCGTAATGGAAAAAATACTCCACTTATCTTTACTATCAGGTAAGGCATAGTTCATATTATTATTTACGTTAGTACAACAACCCATACTTACCTAAATCTACGATTTTTCCTCATTTGTACAAGTATACATGTTAGCGTTGTTCAAAAACGCATCCCTTTTGAATGTATCTAGGTAGGCAAGTGTATTTTTTTTTTAATCGGATATACTCCATATTATATTTTTCACTTTAGGCACAATAAGGAAACGCATATACCACTTCGGGCATAGAGACTTGAAAATTGTGGTCGCTACTGTTCAATGATGGCTAAGAATAACCATGCAATAGTTCTAACAGAAAACCAACAAATGGTACTTAACGGATTTTTGAGGCGAGCCGGCGTTGGTAATTTTTCTATATCATTATCATCGGGAGCAGAAGATGGTGAAAATTTTGGTGGAATTATAATAGAAGCCGATGTAGTGTGGACCAACGGAAATAAGGAATCGACTTCCCATTACATTCTAAAGTGTGCCCCGTCAAGTGAAATTCTTCAAAGGCTGTTACCTGTGCAGTCTTCCTTACTGATTGAGATATACGTGTACTCAAAAATTTTGCAAGAGTTTAATATAATTCAAGGAGAGTATAACATTGAAACACCATTCGATTGCTTCCCAGTTTATTACGCGTCTTTGGCAGCAGCACACGACAAAATGATAGTATTACAAAACGTAAAGGCACTGAATTATAGGCATTGCGATCGAGCTCAACCTCTGGATTACCCGCATATACTATTCGTAGTGAAGGAATACGCACGATTGCATGCCCTCTCCTACGTGATAAAGCACTACAAGCCAGCCCTTTTTGAAGAATTTGAAAGAAATACTGTACACCACTCTTCCTATGACTGTGACAGCTACGAAGGCATCGCCATGTGTAGGCAACATCGATTGGGTCACGCTTTGAAGGCACTGAAGTCGATTGATGATACTGCTCTGTTTGAGAAATTCTCCTATTTTGTCCAAAACGTAATGTCTATTACTACAAAGCTGCTCAATTCCAAAAAGGAGCACCGAGTAATTAGTCACATCGACTGCGGTATTCCAAATTTGTTGTTTAAGTATGATGTAAGTAAGTACTAGCATCTTACACCTAAAACTGATTGAGACGTTTTAGCCTACCTCTGGTGATCTTTTGAGTACCTGCATGGTCGACTGGCAACACTCTCGTTTGGAGTCCCCAGCAGTAGATTTGGTTACGTTCATACTTTCCGCCGCTAGCAAAGCTACTCGAGAACGCTACGATGAGTTAATAATGGAGTACCACAAGACATTCTGTTCATTTATGAGGGAATTCGGTTGTGACGGAGAAAAGATGCTTCCATTTGATATTTTACAAAGAGAATTAAAGACTTACGGTCTATTGGGACTCACAATGGCAATCATGTTAATTTACCTTTATTCAACGATTGACCAAAAGGTTCCCGATGTACTCCGAACCGAGTCCTCTAAGGAGGAATTTGGATTTTTATACAATTTACAAAACCGGGAGAAATTTGACACGAGGGTTAGGGAAGCAATTTGCGACTTTGGTCGTTTCGGGTACAATTTTGAGTGAAATGTTTTCAAATTTTTCATTTTGTCAGCGTATCAAGTGATCATGTGTGAAACAATGTAAATCCATTAAAATGCGATGATATTTTACGAAAAGTGTAGCTTCTTTTCCAACATCGCCATCGTCACATTTCAAAGATGCTAGCTAATATACTAATTATTACCCCTGCCGAGAGTAGGTAGGTATTGCCTGTCGTGCAAACCCAGTATTTAAAAAAAAAAGTACCGAAAATGTACGATAAGCTAATTTTTTACTTTACATAATTTAAATCTCCGATATGTCCATCCAACGAGCTTTAAAGGTTAGGGAAAAGATAGGCAAAGAGTGAGAATATTGCTGTGTTTATTTCGTCCGGCAGGATGAAATTTTCGGACATCCTAATTAAGATGGACAAGGGCGGTTTCCATTTTATGTAAATAACTTTTGTAATTAAATTTTATTAATTTGGCGTTGGTCTATGTAACGGCAAGGAGATTATTTGTGTCAAACGAGAAACCGTTCAAGGTTGTTTTTGTTTACATTTTTATTTTATTTAACGTAGAAATTTCTGGGAATTGTTGGGTCTTTATCTGTTATCAATTGTAAATGCTTAATTTAATTGACATGTGGATGTCATTTATCGCCTTTTCTGTGTAGTTAAGAGAGATAAAATTTTATTTTTTCCTAGAATTTAAGTCTCTTAATGTCTGATAACAAATTGATTTATAAAAATTATTCGACCTCTATTTTCTGGTCTATTAACGTACGTTTAGGGGATAGCCTTGCTTTGTCAACTGCGTATGATTGGTTGTTATAATTTTGATTTTCGGAAGAAGGGTTTTGCCGTAAATAAGACGTCAAGAACGAAAGCGGCACCTTTTGCAACAGTCAACGCAGAACTACGTTTCGTTGAAGAATTTAAAATCAGCTTTTAGCTAGAGCTTACGCCGTACTACGTTTCGTTGAGATTTGAAATCAGCTTTTAGCCAAGTTCAGCGCCGAACTACGTTCCGTTGCAGTTTTTAAAATCGGCTTTACGGAAAGTTTAGGGCCAAAATGCGGCCAATTTATTTCAGCTCTTTGCTACGTCAGCACCGAGTTACGTTTCGTAGAAGGTTTTATTTCGTTTTTTGCGAGTTCCATTGTGGATTATTTGTGTTGAAGCGACAGCCAGCATTGAAACTCTCGTCTAATGTGAGTTTGAAGTTTGAAGAAGTTTTGTGTGTGAAACCGGAAGTTGAATTCGTGGCTAATTATTTTTCTATCCCATAAGTTTTTTTCCAACGTGACTCAGTTTGAAGTTAAGTTTTTTTTTATTGGAACGTCCTTGTCTACTAGAAGACAAGATGCTGCGATTACCCGGTCGTTAGTGTAAAGTGCGTTGATTGAAAATTGTAATTTTTTGTGAACTGTGTACGGATACCTTTTATTTGATTGGATATTACAATTCCCGGACAAGTAATGTAAGTAGTTAGGTTTTAATTTTAGTCTTTTTGTAATAATTGTTTGTGTTTTGGTACCATTTTCCTTGTATGTGTTAGAATTAAATCGCACTTTTGTAATTTACCTGATTTCATTGGATGCTTGCTCAAGATCCATTTAATTTTTCAAAATTTTGCAGTTCCGTTTGGAGTTTGAGGTATTTGGTTTGACTCATTACCTGTTTGAAGTTAACGTGTTAATAAGTAAAGGGAAAGAGCTAGCTAGGTTTTTGTTTTGGTATTTTGTGTACGGTCTTTCTGGCCTACGGACCAGTACACACAGAAATATATTATTATATATACAGAGTTGATTTAATTAATACTCATTATTCATTACTCTAGCCATCCGTATTTTAAGTAACAGGTCACAGGAAAAGGAATAAGTTTGTTTAAAATCTTAGCGTGAGCGAAGTTAAAGTAACAAAGCCCGTTCGGCATTTATCGCGTATAAAGAACAGACCGAGAAGCTATATAAAAAAATTGCTGTAGCTAGGCACAGATACCACTCTCTCGCTAGCGCATGCGCCTTCTGCACAAAAACTTTTCAGCCCTTTTATGTCTAAGAACGGGTGTACCAAATTTAGTTCGAATCGGTTCCGCCGTTTAGCTGGAAATGAGGGTATCGTATAATAGACAAACAGACCGTACTAATGTACGGGTGGAAAAAATGGACTCACGAGGAAACAGTAGCACACTTCTTTGGTCATTTTCCGAAGGGAGAATTTGATATTTTTTGTACACGGGTAACTGTATAAAGAGTTTCGTATGGACGAAGGGATCAGAAGGAAGATACAATTACCATAGTGTAACAAAGGGAACAGTCAGACAACGTTGCGTGAAACAAAGGAATGTGTTTACTGGGTCAACCTTCCCAAAGAACTACAAAACACTACAAAATATGTGTTGCTTTTCGGGGTGATGGTCAAGTAAGGTACACAAGTAAAACGAGTACATGCTTTAAAAACGGAAGTTTAATCAGAATAAATTACATTGCAAGAATAAAACTTGAAAATTGTAGTTCACAGAGTAGAAATAGAAATTGTCTGGTAAAAAACATAACTCAGGAAGAAAAAACCAGCCAACAATTTAAAATTAAACGTTATAGCAAAATTAATTATGTATAATGAGGATGGCATGAAATGCAAATTAGAATAATATTGTCAAGTAACTTTATGAAATATCGGATCATAGGAATACTGGAATTCTTAAACATTTAATATTCATAACATAACATAAAAAGAACAAACATTTAACATTAGAAAAAATTCACATTGTTATTATATGGATAACCAGCCCAAATATCCCACACATCACACAGAGTTGTCTTCACTTGGTCTTGGTTCAGCAAGAACCAAACAAACCCTAGGAATTGACCTTTCTTAAGGGCATTTTACACAGAAAGGATAAGTGGGTAGGTACATAAAATAAAGGGAACGACGAGAACACGAGAACAATGGGCCATAATTTACAATAAACGTCCCAAACCTAACGCTATACGAGGGAAGTTAATGATCCATATCGATTCGGGACGCAGAGCGCGTCGATTTTAAAGGTTTGATTTGCTGAAGGGGAATTTTATTAATAAATAATAATAAATTGTCTTTTATTGGATAGAATATATATAAAACCAAAAAGAAGAAATAACAAAACATAATGTTGACACCATTATCATCTTTTCAATTTGGGATCTTCGTTACTCACTTGGTAGAGATCCGAAAAGCTTAAGAGTCTTCTGTACCCACTGCATCGCCCGCCATAAAAACTCTAGTTGTTTTTCAAAAAACACTTTTTTTTAAGAACTATTTTATAAATTTAGACCTTTATCTACAAAATGTTCGGACTATTTTTTTTTAAAGTTTATAGCAACTGAATACCGATTGTTAAAAGATTATATGTTTCGCACCGATTATTGCGCTAATCTGTTTTATTTTTTTACTCTCGATCAAGACGATTTATGGAAAAAGTAAACCGACAGTTTTTTTAGATAAGTTACTTCTAAATATGACCCCAAAAAATGAAATCATAATTTTTGTAAATAAAGTCTGTATCTTGGCGGGCGGTAGGTAAATCAACAATTTGAGTGTAACAAGTGGCGCCGCTGCACAGTGTCGGTGGGAACTAACTAAGGACCAAGACAGGAGTTGATAAAGCAAGAATATCATCTTATCTCTTGCAGCTATAATCGTCTATACACTATAATGTAAAAAAGTTGCACTTAGGTACAGAAGACTCTTAACACTGAAAGAAGAATAGAATCAAATCAGTGCTACAGGTAACAGTGAAACGTAAGTATTAAGCGCGGGTGACAACACAATGTCTCATAATCGATGGTGTGTTTTACATCACTTTTACTCCAAAGTTGACCTGTATTATCGGTCAAGTTTAAGGTTAGAGGCCAGTCTCGATCTTATGTTCAAGTATATAAATAAGTTTCGCAAAGTAATTGGATTATTTATGCGTCTCCCTTGCTTCGGTTATTTTGACTTTAGTGAACTACCTACACCAACCCATTTGTAAGATAAAATAAGTAGATAAGATAAACGAATATATAGGTACGCGTTGATTTATACTGTAATCAACGTTTTGTCTAACGTTACAAAATGACAATACCTGCAATTGAAATGAACAAGGTATACCATTGAGAAGGGGAAAACAAAAAGTAAGTAAAATTACTATTACAAGTTACAACTTAAACGAAATTATTGAAGGAAAACATGTCGAGATCGAACGACTCCGTGGTTTTAACGGTAAAGCAAATGGAAGTCCTTAAAACAATGCTTTATAGTATTGGTATTAAAGACTATTCATTGGCGCTGTCACCAGCTGTGGAAGAAGGGGAAAATTGCGCCGGTGCTGTAACCAAAGCCGTAGTAAAATGGACTGGTAAAAACGGCGATTCTTGCACTTCACACTATATACTCAAGTGTATCACCTCAGGAAGTGCCTTGGAAAATCTGATTCCCTTACAAGATTGTTTTACAAGAGAAATTTATTTATATTCCAAGGTATTTCCACAGTTCACGAAAATGGAAGCTGAACACAACGTTAGGTTCAACATTTATCCTGAGTTCTACACCTCACTGGAAACAACGGAGGAGAAAATGTTGGCATTACAAGATATGAAAGCTTTAGGATTCCGCCACCATAACCGCCACCAGACTTTGGACTACGAGCACATACTGTTAGCGGTTAAGAATTATGCTCGATTGCATTCTCTGTCATATGCAACTCGCCATCAACAGCCAACCCTGTATGAAGAATTCGAGAAGAACACCCCCGACCGATTTTTTGTTGGGTTTAAGTACACAGGGGTTCGCTCAGTTTCTGAACATCGGATTCTTAACGCACTAAAAGCATTGGATCCAGTTGTTGATCGAGAAATATACAATGTATTTTGTGACCTCAAGGAAAACATGGTGTCAGTATTAACGAATTTGATCAATTCGAAAAATCAGTACCAAGTGATCAGTCACATCGATTGTGGACTTATGAACTTATTGTTTAAATATGACGTAGGTATGCGTGCGATTAATTGCCTTCATTAACATTCGATCACATTTCAGCTGAGTACTAACACGCCAACTGACGTCTGTATGATAGATTGGCAACATGGGCGTTCGGAGTCACCGGCTGTCGACTTGATTACTTTCATCTTTTCATCATCGGATAGTAAAACTAGGGAACGTTATCATGAATTAATCATGGAATATCACAGGTGCTTATGTGTATCTTTAGAAAAACTGGGGTGCGATGGTAACAAAATTTTGCCGTTCAGTATTTTGGAAAATGAGCTAAAAGTGTACGGAATAGTTGGTTTTTGCTTTGCTATTTTTTTAATTTACGTTTATTCTACTGTTGACCAAAGACGACCTGACGCGCTTAACGATGATTCTCATGCGGAAGGATACTCGTTCGTATATGACCTGCAAGAGGGGTCCGAGTTTGATAGGAGGGTTAAGGAAGCTATAATTGACTTTTGGAGGTTGGGATACAATTTTAAATAAAGTTATTGATCTTCTGTGTTAATTTCTGGTAGTATTTGGTAATCTGTTCAGTGTAATAGTTGCAAACTAAATGCGTTGTGAACAAATTAAAACGTGAACTTTTGTCCCAGAATAATAGTGCAAGGATCATAAACAGCGACAGTGTGCGTCGTGTTCTAACTATAACTGTCTGTATGTCCTTTAGCATTGATTTAATTTTTCGGAATATGAAAAGTTCGCGCCGGACCAAATCAATACAGTAGAGAGGATGTTGCAACACAGCAACCTTGTTTTTGAATAATTACTGCTTCACATACAACACAGTGTTACAAGATGCGTTATTTGACTGCAGAAACTTGCCAATAGTACTACTGATTATAAGTGTGGCCCTCTAGAACCCAGATGATGTGGCGTGACACTCCGGTTTTCGTAGCAAACGACCATCGCTTTGAATTTCGACTTGCCTATCTTGGGCTTTTTCATCCTGGGCGAAGAATCATCCAGTCCAGACTATCTCTATCGACTATCGACTGGGTCATAATAAAGAATCCAACACGCCAATAGAAACGAAATGTACTTCCATTTTGTCTCCTTCGGTCGAGGGGCTACCCAGACATCGTGTGTTACGTTGCTTGAAAGTTTACTCAATTCTTCGTTCGTCCGTTTGGACTTACCTTCCGTAATTTTACTTCCAGGCCGCTCAGGTTAAAAGGGTTAAGAATAGGAAATATCCTTACTGGCCAAATAATTAATTTTGTTATAGCAAACATTGTAGAATGTTAAACACGCAAAATCTAAGGGCCAATTGCACCGTCAAAATTAAGTATCCCTTAAGGCCGATTCAGAGTTCCGTAACTGTAAGCGGTAAGAGGTAACGATAAGAAATAAGAAAAATAAACATTTAAATTATAATGGTGACATTCAGAGTTTTTCCGTAAGATGCAAGACGTAAGTAGTAAGAGGTAAGAAATGGATTATTTTATTTCATACCTTATCTCTTACGGAATCATGTTTTGTTTATTAAGATGAGAATGTATTCGACCGTTAAGGCCGATTCAGAGTTCCGTAACGGTATGAGGTAAGAAATAAGAAATAAGCGGTAACGTAAATCGTGTAAGCCTGTAAGGGAAGACCGTTTGCGTCATATATTGTCAAACTGACGTTTGAGATTGTAGTACCAAAGGTTATTTTGCTTTTCATAGACGTAGGTAACGAATATGGATAGTGACATCATAATCATAGCGCTTCTAGTGTTAATACACCTTCAACACAAATGTTTTAACGGTCGAATACATTCTCATCTTAATAAACAAAACATGATTCCGTAAGAGATAAGGTATGAAATGACATAATCCATTTCTTACCTCTTACTACTTACGTCTTGCATCTTACGGAAAAACTCTGAATGTCACCATTATAATTTAAATGTTTATTTTTCTTATTTTTCAGAGCTTTCCAACGACGTATCACACATGGGGGGTCACTATTTAAGATTTAAAAGTTGGGGTGGCTGGGGCGCAGGGGGTTGGAGGGGGTGCGTCGCCAACTATGTCATTGTGATTCCCCTCCGAATTACCGAAACGGATTTTGATTTTTTTAAATATCTCGTTTATTTACTAAGATATGGGGGGTGGTAAGTTTTCAAATTGTCACCCTGTATATACAGACCTTCTAGTTTCCTTTTGTTAAGATTTTCTTACGAAACTGTCCTTATGCCATTTGCACTTGCGGTGACGACTTTCATCTGCAGATAGGTCTCGCCTAAAACTTCCATTTTCTGTCAATAGATGGATAAGGGAAGGAATATGAGAGACGAGATCCTCGTACAACAGATGAGATACTGTACGAGGAGTTATTGAAAAGCAACCGCGCAGGATTCTGCAGGGGTTGGTAGATAAAGTTGATCTAGAATTAATTGCCACACTGCTCACTGATTCCCGTCTTTCTTCCTTTGGGAAGGGTTCTCCGCTGAAGCGGGGTAAAACAAATAGAAACACTCCCTGATGGAATAATAAGGAAAACCAACAGAAGGGTTTTTAACAACAGCAAGCGCAATGGGTACTGGGATGAATATAGAACGTCCCTCACTGAGTATAGTAATGATAAAAGAGCGTCTTGCGAAAGATTCTGTGGGATGATAGAAGAAAATCCCGTCTACGGAGGATCGTCTCAAAAGAGACATTGGGAATGGGATGGTGGTATCAGGCGGGTAACGCACTGACTCAAGTAGAGAAACTTTGCAGCTCTTTGTGCGAACCCACTTCTTGGATTCTGTTAAGGAGACCGGGGATATCAGAAGTTCTTCATCTTCCCGTCCTGCCCACATATTTGACTACGGTCTTAGTGGCCGTATATTCACACCAAACAGAGTCCGTTGGGCAAGCCTAAATCAGTCAGGCTTAGGAACCAACTCAAGAGATACCGACTTTAGCAGCCTATCGTCCTTTATCCTTCAAACGATGGAGAGAATAGTAGGGTAATGCATAAGGGACACCAACCAACTTTCATACCAAAAGGGTCGCTCTACGTACGGAGACTGTCTTTCATAACATCATCTCTAAGATTGAGAATAGGTACCTACATACTGGACAAAGAATCGACCTTAGTCTGTATCATGGACATTAAGGGGGATTCAACTGCCTCTCATATAACTCCATTGATGAAGCAGCAACATATCAACCTGTGAACAAACGGATCTATAAAAGCCATGTTAGAAGGCAAGGCGTTTAAAACCAACTTGGGATCGAAAACAATCTCGTAACCGCGAGCAGAGGTTGTCCGCAAGGGGGTGCAATGTCCCTTCTCCTTCACCACTAAGTGAAGAAGGAATCGGCGTTGGGAGCCATCAGATTACTCCGAAATGAGGCGGAAGGAACACAAAGATGCAAAACACTTAGGAGTTGTAAACCAATTCCTGAGCACTATACAAGATTTCAGAATACGTGAGTCTCAAATACCACCACGACGAGCTCTTTAAAGCAGTGATCCGGGACGTGGGAAGTCTGTAAGAGCAGTCCAGAATTTGACAAAGGAGCAGTAAGCTGGTACACTGATGGCTTCAAGTCGATGGAAGGGGTGGGAATACGCATAAGAGAGCCGAATTACGCCCCCTCAATGGTTTTCTACAATATTTTAAGCCGAGGTTATAGCTGAAACCCGGTGCGCAGAGGTCATTGTGGTCAACGGGCTACATATGTTCGGACAGTCATGCAGTTCTCAAGGTTCTAGGTAGCGGCCTTCTCCCTGACCTCTAAGCTGCTCATGGAATACCACATAAAACTGGAATAAATGGTCTGGCGTACTAGTGTTACGTTAGTGTGGATGCCAAGCCATGAGAGGATGCCCGGTAACGACATATGACATGCACCAAACATTGGCTCGGAACCGGAGTACCGGAGCTTCAGCAAGTCTAGCTGGAGGAGTGATAAGAAGCCAGCTCAAAAAAGAGTGGAAACGTCTATAAGAATCTGTCCCTGGACTAAGACAATCCAAGAAACTGATCAGCTTTCAGCAGACTAAAACCAGCTCGTTGCTAGCACTTAGCAGAAGTGAACTAAGGTCATACACGGGAATGGTCACGGGACACTGTCTCTTTTCAACAGAATCGGCGGTAACACATGTCGCCTCTACTTCGAGGGGAAGTTATACTTATTTGAAGATTGGGCCTTCGAGTTACAAAGTGTCCCCCGCCTACTAGTGAGTGATCTAATTTAAAAAAATAATGATTTAAGTCGATTTATTACGATACTTGCAATAATGCTTATTGATTGTAATGGAACTCTACTTAAAAATCATTTTTCCATCACCCGCAGTCACGGAATTTTTGGAATCGAATTTGCAGACTTGAATACCATGATCGACATATCGAATTTTTTGTGATCATTTACTCATAATAATGTTTTTTGTTATTTGCGACATTTTCAATTAACTACATGCGAAATTAGATCACTCACTAGTAGGCGGGGGACACTTTGTGACCCGAAGGCCCAATCTTCAAATGAGTTTTGTTTTAAAAGTGGTTTAAAAAAACTGTTCGACGGTTTTGTTCATTAACTCATCAAGTACCTATGTGTGGAATTTCGTGGAATTCTCTTTTTTTCGTACCCCCAAGTAGGGGTGCGCTTTTTCGTAATAGAAAATTTGAAAAACAATTTCAAAATCGGATAGGGCATACCCGAAAACCTATCCAAAGACGGCACCCATCTTTGTAACTCTTATGGTTGCTGAGAAAAAAATTAAAGCAGAAATCCAAATTTTACCACCTCTTTGGGGGTGGCTCCCAAACGAAACACGTTGGATCCTCGGTTTATTTGGAAAAAGTTCTTGTCTTGATTCCCTCTATTATCCAATTTTTTTTTGTATACGGTCATGTAACACCCTGCATAAAATTAGTCATTGACGAATTAATTAATATTGATCATTTACTTTTAGTCGTATAACACTAGCGTGGATTTCACTATTTTTCACTTCGGTATCAATATTACGACTGCAACTAAACACAATTCAATTTGTTCATGTTGCAAAGAAAAAGCTTCTAGAGATGTCTCAAATCAGCATATTATATTTCATGGAAAAAATGCGTCGCATCTGCTTTCACTCCTTATCGCCGGTGACTACTTTTATCGACTTGATAAGTGCCTCGAGAATGTTCTAGAAGGATCGCTATAGTAAGACAGTTGAAATGCTACAAAATTGTTTGCTGTTTTTATTTGGATGGTCGGTCATACAGCCATTCTCTAATAGGAAAATACAAAAAAAAACAGAGTCACACATTTTCTCGTCCGGAGGCCTGTTAGGACGTTTTTAATACAACTGTTATTCCGGAAAGATGTTTTGGTTAGTGTGCATGCTCAAATTGAAATCTAATTTTTCTGTGTGCTTTATTCAACATCATTACAACGAATGAATTCCCCATACATAGAATAAACAAAAATGCGATTGCGCATAAACATAAACTATTCGTAACACTCCCCGCCGTTGAAGAAGTGTTACTTCTTCAAATGAAGTACAAAATAAATAAATATAATCTGAGGCA